CCATCAAAACCCTAAGTTAGGGAGCTGGGTTGCTTGACAAACCCCAGTTCTGCATCTTGCAAATATGTGGTCTTGGGCAGATTACTGTCTTTTATAAAATGGAGCAATAATAATATCTAAATATAGGATTTTTGTGAAGGTTAAATAAATTTGTATTCACAAAACATGTAGAGCAATACCTTAGAACTGAGAAAGAATAAAAAAATATTCTCTCATTTTTTATCATGTTCATTCTTAAAATTTTCCCTGCCTTAAAGAAACCCCTAACGTATCCAATTACTCTGCTTCAAGTCTACCCAGTCCAGGCTACTGAATTGAATTGGGAAAAAAAAAAAAAGAAGGGCAAAATCAGCAGCACTTTTTAAAAAAATGTTCTAGTTGATAAAATATCACTTGCTATAGATTTGACTACATGTATTGTTTCCAAAGTTCATATCAAAGCCTGCATATCTGTATGCCGTTTGAATGTCCATCTGATGTAACTTCTTAGAAGGAAGCTCCTGTGTGCCCTAAAAATACAGTGTGTGCACATGTAGTAACTTAGCAATGTAACAGCAGCTCTGTTTTGCTAAGATTACTCTATGATTCATTATTGTAATGATGGTAATTATATATATAGCTGCCATGTTTAAAACTTTTAGAACTGTGCTGTGTAGAATAAAATGTAGAATGGAGGAAAACTGTGTTTTACAAAATGGAACTTTCCACAAAGATACATAAGTTACCAATAAAGAATTGTAGTATTAGGAGACTTAAAATATTGCTATTCTTTCAAATAATGACCAAACAAGATATTGCTTAGTTTCCCAGCATCTCAGAGGACACATGATTCCAAAGCATAGATTTATGCTTAAAATAAATCTTTTTTGAAGAAATCTAAATATATCACATGCTGTTTTCCTGGTTGTCATAAAGTGAAACAAACAAAGAATCAAATTGCCAACAAAATAATAATAAAAGATATACCATGGAGAGTGAAAAGGCAAGCAGACAGAGAGAAGATATGTGCAGTGCATATCCCAATAAGGAACTCATGTCAACACTATAAAAAGAACTCCTACAATAGAAAAAAAAGTAGCAAAAACTCTTGACTGGGCACTTCACCAAACAGGATATTCATCAGATTAATAAACCTATGATGATGTGCATAACAACTTTTATCATTGGGGAAATTTAAGACAAAATCACAATGAAAATAATCTAAAAATAAAAAGATACTCCTACATGCCTTATAACGGCTAAAGTTTTAAAAAGTGATAATATCAAATGTTCCCAAAGTTCCAGAACAACTGGAACTTTATATATTGCTGGTATGTGTGGAAAATGACACATTTTTAGAAAACTTTTGGTGGTACCTACTAAAGTTAAATATAAGTTTGTCCTGTTACCCAGCAATTTCAACATAAAGTAAATAATCAAGAGGAATCAGTGCATAAGACACTTTAAGAATTTTCATAACGGGTTAATTTTGTTACTTAAAACTGGAAGCAACCTAAATGTCATGAAGAGTAGAATGGAAAAGTTGTGGCATAATTATAAAGTGAAATACAGCCTCAAATATAAAAAACAGATAAACTACCACCCTACAACATGAATGAATCACACTGGCTGATGAGCAAAAGAAGCAGGACATGAAAAGACACATCTATGAATCCATTTATGTGAATTTCAAGAAATAAAACTTCTTGTGGTGATAGAAGTCGGAATAGCTAGAACCTCTGGGGTTACCTGAAAATGGAAACAGGAAGCCTTCTAATCAATGTTCTGTAAGTGGATCAGGGTAGTTTTACAGGTGCACATACTTGAAAAATTCACTTACAATTTGTGTGCTTTACACTATCTGTGTTATACTTTTAAAAAATACTCTACACTGTGACTGAACAATGAACATGAATAATTCCATCATACTTGAACAAAATAATGAGAAGGACTGATGAAAAGACTTTCATATCAGAACTAAGTTGATATTATGTCAAAGTAAGATGGAGGGCAGGGTTCTACCTGCTTTTTACAGATAAAAGTTGGTGTGTTTGGAATTTGAGCAGAAGCTTTGTCTATTTTCCCCTACTTTTAATTTTCTATTTTATTTATAAAAGTATGGAATTATGGTTATTTAGTTTATATCTTACAGTTAATCAAATATTACGTTATTTTTTGTTACTCAAACCATTACAGCTTTAGTTATCAGTAACTCTTTCAGGCGGCTCTTTGTAAATACCTTCATCATTGTGGGTTTTTTGTTGATGTTTGTGTTTGCTTTTTTAGCACTTCCATTCTTTATGGTACTACAAGATACTATAAGAAAGAAGTAATTACATTTTTTTTTGTTTAGTGTTAATAGTAAGCTTAGTAATTTGGAGTACCTTATTAAGGTCAGGGCCATGTGTATCATTCCCTTAGGAACTGAGCATTGCTCCATTTAATGCACATAGACAATACTCAACTCAGGCTAGACACATTGCTGAAAAACTCATTATAATAACTACAATAAAGAATCTAGATGGAGATTTAAAAATATTAATAGCTTAACTATGTGTTTTATTTAAATCAATGTGCTATAAAGAATTGTGATTGATGGAAAAGGAGCTTCAAAAGTCTTGTTTTACTTATGAAGGGATATTAATAACTTCATTAAAAATGTTCTCTTTAAGAAAATGTGCTATAAAGAAATGTGATTAATGGAGAAGAGTTTTTAAAAGTTTTGTTTCTGGAGTCACATGATTGTTTCTATCAAAGCAAGCAAATTTCATGAGAGGAGGAAGAACTTTTAAATGCAAATGAGTTTCTGTCTCACTACATCTTTTCCTATCAAATTATTTGTTAGAATTTACAGTTTCAGTTAGATAGTATTCATATTGGAGGTAAAGGAGAGAAAGGGAGAAAATAAGTAGACTCTTTCAAGCAATAACAGTAATATGAAATTATCCCTGCAGTGTTATAATCAAGACAGTTCTAATGGTATAGCTGAATAAGCTGTGCATCATAGAACAAGAGTTATTCCTATAAATAAAAACCAGATAATCCTGGTCTTCCCAATTATTTTGTAAAATAACAGGTGAGAGAACAATAAAGAGAGAAATTTGTATAGGGCAAAGAACATGGATGAAAGGATTCCTTACTATTTTTGTTTAAAAATTCTTATTTTCTCTGCAGCCAGACTTATTTTCATTTTCTACACATTCTTTTCCTATGTCATTTTACATGTAAAATCGTTGACTTTCAAAACCTAGTTGGGTCATTTTAATGACATATCTCCGCCTTCTTTTGACTCATGCAGTTGCCTCGAGCATTTTGAATGGTTCACCTTTTATCTTCATAAGGTTTTATAAGAAGTATTTTGAATAGAAAAAAGAATTTTTTATACACATAAAACTTGTTTCTCAAGCTATCTGCTTGAAAGAGCATTCCAAGTGATTTGAGTATTTTATTCCCTATAGGAATAAAACTAGACTCTGGGAGCACTTTTTATTTTACTATTGGAACTCCATCTTCCTTCTTTCCTCCCCTACTCCCTTCCTTCTATTCCTGCATTCCTCTTTCCTACCTTCCACCCATCCATGGTTACATATTTATGGAGCATTTAGTGTGTGCTGAACCTTACTGTGGGCCCCTATTCACACTTCAGCTCTTAAGCGCCAGATAAAATTGACCATAAATTGCCCTAAATATAGCCTTGTCTGGAGTCAACTGTACATTATTTGGGCTTGAATGATGCTGCCCCCATACTACATGTAATATATTTCTTTTGTTTTTGTTGCTATGTTCACTTTCTGGTTATTGCTGCTAATTTTTAAATATCTTACCATGAAGCCCCACTATTAGAGATTGCTCTGCTGAACTCACAAGATAATGTTAAAGATAAAACACCTCTTTCATGGTGGACCCAAAATTTTGTGCCCTATATATCAGCTGGAAGTTTTTACCTATTATGGGATAATACCAGGTCATTTTTTGAAGCAAGATTGGGGAAACTGTCTTGATAATGTTAAAACACCCAAATTTTTTTTGCTCTTTCCCATCTCTTAGCAGAGTTTACTTCAGTTTCTCTCTCTTATGTAAAATCACAAAATCAGGTTCAACCCTTTTCTCTTGGGGCTCATTGGAGAAGAATTTCTGAGAAATGGCCATGTGATAAAATATAGATTCTTATTATTCTGTTACATATTAACTTGCAAGATTAAAAACAGTTGATCCCATATCTCTGTTTTGGTACAGAGAGGTGGCCCTATCCCTAATCTTGGACCAGAATCCAAAGAATGAAATCAGAGTTGTAGATCTTCTAACTTACAATTGGCTTTTTCCCAGAAATTAAACAAATATTCAGGGAAAGGAAAATATAACTTCTCTCCAGTCCAATACTTCCAATGGAAACCCAAGTGGCTTTGGAAACAATGATTTTCTGGTCTAGCCCCAAAACAAATTGAATTTATAATTATAGATTACACTTAGAGTCTCCGTTGTGTAACCTTTCTCTACACTTTCCATCGTCCTCCCTTTAATGTGAACAACATAAGAACAAACATCAAAGTGCTCTTGTCTGGCAGCTGAGCCCTTATTTCAGAATTCTAGTCAGAAAAGTGCAAGTTAGATGGTTCAACACAATGGAGCACAGAAGCAGTAATGTCTTAGCAAGTAGGAAGTGATGTGGCTTCCTTTCTTCATTAAAAAAAAGCTAAAGGAAGACTAAAATATTTTAGTTCTAATTTTATTTAAAAAATAATGACAGAATATTAAGTTATTAAGATTTATAAATGGTTAATTCACATTTATTAAATACCCAATATATGCCTGTACTACACTAGGTGTAGGAAAATAATTTCAACACAAAAACAAAACATTGTTCATGGCCTTGAAGAGATACGTAGATTAGTAGAATTCATGTTTTTTTAGTTCTTAATTTAAACTGCAATGTTAGGCTAAATGTAGATTTTAATGTCAGCACATGTTTTCTTCCTGGTATGATTAATACATTTCTTAATTTTTGTCTACTTTTGTCTTAGGAGATAGTCAACTTCAACTGTCGGAAACTAGTGGCTACAATGCCTCTTTTTGCTAACGCGGATCCTAATTTTGTGACAGCCATGCTGAGCAAATTGAGATTTGAGGTGTTTCAGCCTGGAGATTATATCATACGGGAAGGTGCTGTGGGTAAAAAAATGTATTTCATTCAACATGGAGTTGCTGGTGTCATCACAAAGTCCAGTAAAGAAATGAAGCTGACAGACGGCTCTTACTTTGGAGGTTAGTAAACAAAGATTGTGCCAATTCTTTGATCATGTGTGGATTTTCTTCTTCAGCCTGTTGATATGATAGGTTCCATTGATTGAATTTGGTTTTGAATGTTGGACCAGCCTTGCATACCTGAATTAACTTGTTAATATATAAAAAATGTATTAAAATGTATAGAAAATTTTAGATTTAATTTTCTAATATTTGATCAAAATATTTTTGTCTCAGTTCATGAGAGATACAGCTTCCTTTCCTGTAATGTGTTTTCTGGTGTTTGTTATTAGTATAAATCTCACCTCAGAGAATGGAATAGTAAGTGTTCTTTCTGTATCTATTTTCTAGAAAAAAGTTATGGAGAATTTATATCATTGCTTCCTTAAATATTTGGTAGAGTTCAAGAGTGAAAAATTCTGATGATACATATTTTTAAAGATTATTAATTATTGATTCAATTTCTATAATAGATATAAGGTTATTCAGGCTGTGTGCTTCTCATTGTATGAATTTGATTAGTTTGTACTTTGTAGAAAATGCTCCATTTTATCTAAATTTTCAAATTTATGGGCATAGAGTTGTCTGTAGTGTTCTTTTATTATCCTTTTCTGTGTTCCCAGTATCAGTAGTGATAATCACTCTTTCATCTTTTTTTGTTGATAGTTTGTGTGTTCTATTTTTTTTTGTTAGGCTCTCCTAGAAAAAAGTTCTTTAATCTTTTTAAATCTTTTGGTATCATTGATTTCTCTCTATTATCTGTTTTCATTTTATTGATTTCTGTTTGAATTTTTATTATTTCCTTATTCATCTTGCTTTAGGCTTCAACTGCTACTTTCTCTTGCTTGCAAAAATGTAAGCTTAGATTATTGATTTTATATTTCTTTTCCTTTCTCACATATGTATTTAATGTCATATGCTATAAATTCCTTTTTAACATTGCTTTTCCTGCCTCCCAAAAATATGATGTCATATTTTAATTTTCTATAGTTCAAAATATTTGTTTAATTTCTATGGAGACTTCTTCCTTAACCTTTATGCTACTTGAAGTGTTTTAAGTATTTGCAGATTTTCCAGCTATCTATCTGTTATCAGTTTCTAATTTAATTCCACTGTGGCCTGAGGATTTACTTTCTATGAATCATATTATTTTATATTTGCTAAGTAATGTTTTATGGCTCTGATTCTTGATGAATGTTCCATATGAATGAACTTGGAGAGAATATATATTCTGCTGTTATTGGATGGAACATTTTATAAGTGTCAGTTAGACCAAGTTGATTGATGAGGTCGTTCAGGCCAACTATATCCTTGCTGATTTTTGTCCTGCTTGATCTAATGGCCCCTTTATTATTATGTAATATCCTGTTTTATCCCTGATCATTTTTCTTATCCTGAAATCTGCTTTGTCTGAAACTGATATAGCTATTCTAGCTTTGTTTAGTATTAACACTATATATTCTTCTACATCCCTTTCTTGTTTGTTTAAGTTTTTTTATTGTGGTAAAATGCACAAGCATAAAACTTGCCATCTTAACCATCTTTAAGTATACAAACAGTTCCGTGATTCTAAATACATTCATAATGTACTACCACTACCACCATCCATCTCTAGAACTCTTTTAATCTTGCAAAACTGCAACCCTATACCCATTAAACAATAAATCCCCATTCCACTCTTCCTCCCATCCCTTGGCAACCACCATTCTGTTTTCTGTCTCTGATCATTTTACTACTCTTGATACCTCACATAAATGGAATCAGAGACCATTTATCTTTCTGTGACTGACTTATTTCACTTAGCACAACATCTTCTAGGTTCATACATGTTATATCATATGTCAGAACTTCCTTTCTTTTTAATGGGGAGTAATATTCCATTATATGTATATACCACATTTTATTTATTCATTCATCCATGATACACAACTGAATTGCTTCCACATTTTAGCTATTGTGAGCTATTGGAATTGCTTCCACAGGCTATTGTGACTAATGCTGCTACGAACATAGATATATTCATAGACCCTGTTTTCAATTCTTTAGTTTACATCCATAAGTGGAAATGCTAGATCATATGGTAGTTCTATTTTTAATATTTTGAGGAACCTCTATACTATTTTCCATAGTAACTGTACCATTTTACATTCTTCTCAACAGTGTATAAGTGTTCTAATTTCTCCACATCTTTATCAATACTCATCATATTTTGTTTTTGATTACTCTCCTAATAGATGTGAGATCTTATTGTAGGTTTGGTTTGCATTAATCATTAATCCTCAGGTGATTAGTGATGTTGAGCACCTTTTTTATGTTAATTGGTCATTTGAATATCTTCTTTGGAGAAATATCTAAGACCTTTGCCTATTTTTAAGTCAGGCTATTGTTGGTTTTTAGGAGTTCTCTCTGTATTTTAGACAATAATCTCTTATCAGATATATGATTTGTAAATGTTGAATCCCATTTTGTGGGTTACCATTTTACTTTGTTGATAGTGTCTTTTGATGTACAAATTTGTTTAATTTTCATGAAGTGCAATTTTTCTGTATTTTCTTTGGTCATCTGTGCCTTTGGATCCATATGCAAAAAATTATTGCCGAACACAATGTTGCAAACCTTTTGCCCAAATTTTCTTCTAGGAGTTTTATAGTTTTGGGTCTTACGTTTATTTGTTTCATCCACTTCTGGTTCATTTTTACGTGTGGTCCTAGGTAAGGGTTCAACTTCATTCTTTTACATGTAAATATACAATTTTCCAGAAACATTTGTTGAAAAGATTGTCTTTGCTAAATGATCTTGGCACTTCTGTCAAAAGTAATTTGATCATGTATGTGACAGTTTATTTCTGTACAAACATTTAATTTTTTAAGACTTTTTTCAGCAGTTTTAGGTTTATAACAAAATGAGAGTAATATGCAGAGATTTCCCATGTACTCCTTGACCACAGACATGCCTTATCAACATCACTCACCAGAATGGCACATTTTTTACCAATGATGAACCTACATTGCCCATCATAATCACCCCAAGTCCGTAATTTACCTTATAATTCACTCTTGGTATTTTACATTTGATGGATTTAGACAAATGTATAGTGACATACATCTGTCATTGTATCATGTAGAATATTTTCACAGCCCTTAAAATACTCTGCTTTCCCTGCTCATCAATTCTCTCTTGCATCCCACCCACCCTCCCACAGCCAGTGATCCTCTTTATTGCCTCCATAGTTTTGCCTTTTCGGGAATGTCATATGATGTAATCATATAGTATGCAGCCTTTTTAGATTGGCTTCCTTCACTTAGTGATATGCACTTAAGGTTCTTCCATGTCTTTTTATGAATTGACTGCTTGTTTGTTTATAATTTATAGGATAATATTCCATTATCTGAATGTACCAGTTTCTTTATCCATTCACCTACTGAAGGACATCTTGGTTGCTTCCAAGTTTGGCCAATTATAGCACAAAATAATTTGCTGTAAACATTCATCTGCAAGTTTTTGTATAGACATAAATTTTCAACTCTTTTGGGTAAATACCATAACAAGGAGTATGATTACTGGATCATGTGGTAAGAGTATATCTAGTTTTATAAGAATCTGCCAAAGTGTGTTCAGAAGTGCCTGTACTATTTTGCATTCCCACCAGCAGTGAGTGAGAGTTCCTGTTGTTACAGATCTTCACCAGCATTTATTGGTTTAGAAAATATTCCTGATTTGGGTCATTCTAATAAGTGTATAGTAATATCTTGTTTTTATTTGCATTTCCCTGATGACATATGATGTGGAGCATCTTTTCATATGCTTTTTTACCATATTTTTTTTTGTTTATTTTTAATTGAGTTGTTTATTTTCTCGTTGTTGAGTTTTAAGTGTTCTTTGTGTATTTAGGATAACAGTCCTACATCAGATGTGGCATTTGCAAATATTTCCTCTCGGTTTATGGCTTGCCTTCTCATTCTTTTGACGCTGTCTTTTGTAGAATAGAAGTTTTTAATTTTAATGAAGCTCTAGTTCATTAAGTATTTCTTTCATAGACCGTGTCCTTGGTGTTATATCTAAAAAAATATCAGAATACCCAAGGTCATCAGCTTTTCTCCCATGTTAATCTAAGAGTTCCATAATTTTGTTCTGCCTTTAGGTCTGTGATCCGTTTTGAGTTAATGTTTGTGAAAGATGTGAGGGCTATGTCTAGATTATTATTTCTTGCATGTGGATGTTTTGTTTTCCCGGCACCATTTGTTGAAGAGACTTTGTTTCATTGAGTTGGCTTTGCTCCTTTGTTGAACACTAAACTATATTTATGGAGATATACCTCTGGGGTCTCTATCCTGTTTCATTGATCTATATGTCTATTTTTTTTTTTTACCAATACCACACTGTCCTGATTACTGTAGCTTTATAGTAAGTCTTGAAGGTGGGTTATCTCTTCATATGTTCTACCTGGCCCACCTTACTAAAGTAATCATATTATTAATATATTATCCACTAAGGTAAAATTCCATTCATATACACCATTAAAATTTCAAATGAAGTATCTTAGTTTCCAGTAGTTCATGATTTTAAAGAAAAGCTTCTGTTTTTCTAATATAACATATTTCATCATTATTAATGTCTCTATCCATTCACCTCTTAGCAGTCATTTGTCTTTCTGCACAGTGTTCTAACTGAATCATTCTCTTAACTTTCCTTCTTTCAAAACATCTGCCCCATAAGATCATATGGTATAGAAATATGAAAAAAAGTCTACCAGAAGGAAGGTACTCCCATGATTGTTACATTATAAATTATTTGGTATTGAGTGCTGCATAATCATGCCTGACACTTTGCAAGCCTTGAGGAGACTATATTTTATATAGCTAATGTGCATATTTAGGATTTTTATGCCCAAAATGCATTTGGCCAGATAATGATCATCTGGAATTTTTTAATTTAGAGCCACAGATTTGAAAAACCACAGGCAATCGCTATCATGGTGACTGATCATTATTTTTAAGAGGATTGTGGCATCTGCCAATCTG